TCGCATGTACAGAGCGGGAAAAAAGATAGTCCACCCAAAATTTTTCTTTACGTTACGAATAACATTATATTAGTAGAAAATACCGATAAAAAACTTCAAACAAGTAAAAAAATTATGCCAACTACATGAAAAAGTGGAGGACTCAAGGAGTTATCATTGAAAAATAGAAGATCCTCATAAAAAACTACAAGAAAATAGAAAGAGATGTGAAATCAAAATAAGCTGCCAGATGATTTGCTTAGATTTCCGCGGCCTGTAAGTCAAATGCTTGGCGTGGCTAGGCAAGATCAAGGTGTCGATGAATAAGAATTATTTTAAAACGCAAAACAATGAAACTGTACTCATAATATTGTCAGAGTTTTAAATTGACGAATTATCTGAAAGTCTGTGAGAGAGAAAGTATGGGTATTGATGATCTAAGAATGCCTTGCCTGGCCACGCCAAGAATTTGACTTCCAGTCCGCGGAAATCTAGGCAAATCATCTGGCAGCTTATTTCGATTTCACATCTTTTTCTATTTTCTTGTAGTTTTTTATGGGGATCTCCTATTTTTCAGTGATAACTCCTTGAGTCCTCCACTTTTTCATGTACTTGGCGTAATTTTTTTACTTTTTTGAAGTTTTTTTTATCGGATCTCACTTCTTTTTACGAATCATTTATTATATAGAATCTATTTTAAATTTATAAAAATAAAATTGATATTTCTGTAAACTCTACATAAGAAGTCTAAATTATTATTTGTTTCTTTAATTGAATAGAGTAAAATAAAGGGAGAGTACATAACAAAAGCGAATATACATATATATTTCATATAATTTATTAATTATAAACACTTATTCGTTCAATTTATAAATAATTATATATACCTGCAATTTTTTTTTTTGCTGCAAAAAATATTAATTTTAATGATAAAATGAGAAAATGACTCCATTTCTATAAGCTCTACATAAAAAGTCTAAATTAACACTAGTAGTTGGATCTATTCTGTAAGGTACCTGACAATTCAGATTTTGACAATTTACCTTGTAATGAAAATGGATAAACATTTTACAACAGTTGCTGCAATTTGTTAACGAATAACCTCCAAGCCTGTGGTTCCCTTCATTTATATAAGGTCTGCATAAAAAGTCTAAACTCAAAACACTTTGGTGGTATGGATCTATATTAAAAACAGTTTTCTGTACGAATAGAGGTATCTCGCAATTCAGATTTTGACAACTTACCTTGTAATCAAGATCGATCAACACTTTACAACACTGGCTGCAATTTGTTATTAAACCCTACATAAAAAGTCTAAATTGAAAACATTTTGCTGATATAAATATAATTAATAATGCAATAGTGTAAAAAGCTAAGCTCCTATTGACTAAGGGTTGACGACTGGGAAATCATACGAAAAATACCGTTTCTGACAGATTCATGACATGATATTACGATATCTCAGTTGTACATGGATCGATTTTATTGATTTTGGTTTTATTCGAAAGCTTATATGCGGTTTACATAAGAAAAATGCCTTTAAATTTAGAAAATAGTGCAGGCGTGTTGAGATATTCATGAAAGAAATGTCAGGTTAGGTTGGAATGGACTATCTCTCCTGTAAAAGATACGTGGTAGCTCCAACGCCATATATACGCGGTGACGGATAATTTTTCATGTACTTGGCGCCGAGACGCTACCGCGTCTCTAGATACAGAATCTATAGATAAACAATTAAAAGACAATTATACACCAATTGTACAGCTAGATCTACATGAAAAAATTAAATTTTTTAAGTATGTAGTTATCTACAAAATTACGAAGATGTAAAATTATTATTTGCACGGACAACATTTTGGAACAGTACAAGAAATAAAATTAAAAATTGTCGAAAAATGATGGAAATTGCAGGAAGAGATAATTAAAAGACTTTACCGAAACGTTTAGTTGAAGTTTTACAGAAGAAAGGTTGAATGTACAAAATATTAATAAATTGTTTTCTATGATAGAAGAGAGAGCACATGAAAGTGTGATAGAATGGATAAGAGGAATAGAGAAAAAAAGAAAATTAATGAGAGAAAATAGAGACTAAAGACAGGACCAAAAACACAATAATATTACACATTACATAGGTTTAGTGGTTTACTTATTAGATATTTAGTAGTAGGTTAGGTATAAGTAGGTAAGAATAGTTGTAAGTTTATGAGAATGGGAAATACGTGAGAGAGGGAGAGAATGGAAGTAGACTGTTTGTAACCAAGTCCATTTCTTAGCTGAAAAGCTGAAATAAATGAAGATACCATATAATAGATCGTTTCCTTTGTTTATTTTCTTAAGATACACGTATTCTTTTGTATGTAGGTATTCCATTACGTAAGAGGAGTTATGGAATACAACGTTATGGATAACGTTGAATACAATCTTTATGTCACCGATTGTTTTCGCTTTTGCACAAAGCTTCGGTTGTGTTTTCTCTAAGCAAAATAGGAAAGTCATATTAGCATCAACTAACGTCGTTCAATTATCTGTGCGAGCACAATAAATTGGATACAAAAAATAATTGTAATTATCCGTGAATCATCAAACAAGTATGATAATTTGAATTAAAAAGCAGATTTGTTCTAAGTGACATCAAGTATCGTGATTATACAGGGTGTGGCAGAACGGGTGGTGCAACCGAGCAGAGGGGGATACTACATGTGAAAATAAATCGAAATAATAGAATAACATTTTTTCGTTTGACGCTTTGTTTTCGTTTGACGCTTATAATTAAAAGAATTATTATTTTTTGACAAGTTCGCTATCGCACGTCATATAGACAGACGAGGACGAAATTAAGTGGACAGGAAGCAGAAGTAACTATCATTCGTATTTAAATACGAAACGAGGTAGTTCGAAAAATAAACGATTTGACGGATCATAGATATTGTTCGCAACGGTTGCGAAATTAGTTAACATTATTGGTACGTACGGTGGAAAGCAATCTTACGTGTATATTTCTGAATTTTTGGGGGACAAACGAGAAATTTTCTGGACATTTAAGATTTAAGATTCGAAAAAACGTTTCTTAGCGCATGTGCCGTCGTTTTTGTGTTTGAAAATATTTGTATTTAAATATTTTAACTAACTAATTGGGGGAGAAAGTTGAATTTGTAGTATTTGTCCCTCAATTTAAATAGATTGTAGAGATTTTGCCGATGAAAATGACTTGAAACACTAAATTCATCCCAACTTCGAAATGGAGGAGGTTACTCAATTCGACATGTATACATTTTTTTAAACATTTGCAACTGACAATTTTTTAGATATTAGACAAAACAAAATTTGCGGCGTTGTCGTTCTTTTACATGAGTATTCCGTAGTGACCGCTCTATCTTAGAGCTGGTATATCTGAAATTTAAAACGCAAGCATTTTTTAATAATATATTAAGTCGTCCGAGTACTATCATTATCGTCTAACAATAAGCATTATTGTCTAACAAGGGGAAGTCACGGTCATGTAACCTCAGATCTGGAGCCAAATTTTTTTTGGCGATTCGGGACCCTAAAAATGTTTTGCCGTGGCATGGGGTTTTTATGAAAGGGCCTCAGGGGGCACAAACAAAATTTTAAAAAGCCAAAAAACGAATATTTTAATTTTGGCAAAATTATTATTGATTCGCACTGAAATCGATGCGAGAAATTCAGTAAAAATAGATATAAAATTCTAGGAAAATTATTTCTCAAGTAGTCGCGAAAAAACCGCTTTTGATACTAACAACATTTGTAAGCAAAATACCTGAGGAAAATTTTTTAAAGCAAAAATAACATCATATCCAGATTCATCGCCCAAAAAACCTATAGATACCGAATTTCGTGATGATTGGATAATATTAATTTTATTCCCTATAATGATACTGGCGAGAAATTGATCAAAATCGTGATTCGAGATTAGCTTGTCAACTTTAAACGTCCCCATAGCTTCCTCAACTCTTAACCGATTTACTCGATGAATATGTCGCTGGAAAGCTCTTTTAAAGGCCAATGAAAGTTATTTCATGGTAAAAAATGCTCAGATTGCTTTAGCACCCTCAAAATTTGAGTCAAATATCACAAACCTCAAGTCATTTGAGAATTTTTTTTGAGACCCTTACAATTTTTTAACGGGTCACCGATTTTTGTATGGTTACCTATTATGAAGATGGACATTCGGTTAAAATTTCATCGAATTCTTATTTCAAGTTCTGAAATAAAAAAATCTCTTAAGTTGCATTTTGGAGAAAGTAATTTTATGCAAAATGATAACCATCTAAATCTGCACTTTCGTTAAGGAAAAAGGTGTTCCAAATCACCTCCCGATCCACCCCCTTTCAAGGTGTGACAACCATTGAGCTCTATCCTAACTGGAGTGTGAACTGCGAGAGACAAGCCGGTCCGAGAGAGATGCAAGATTAGTGGTTCCGGTGGTACTATCCTATAGCAAATTTATGTGTGGAGAGAGAACAGACTCCTCTTTGTTTGAATTTCGCGGCACTCTAGGAATTATTTACAGATTAATTATGTACAGATTTGAACTTTATTTCCTTTTTGTTTATATATAAAACGATAGAAACATTAATAATAATATCTACACAATAATGAAATAGAATACATAATTTACATACCATAATTTAGATCCTACAAATATATACAATTCGGTATAGAACTAAATTTTATTATTTGTCAAAATTCAATTTATATTGTATTTATCCAATTTTATGCGGAAAAAAATCTGAAAGTAACTCACTCGACAATGCTCAGCGATTATAGGCTCAGCGTATTATAGGATAATACCGGAACCACCCATTTTGCATTTCTCTCGGACCTCCGTTGCCTCTACTTCTTCCTACAGGAGTTCACACTCCAGTTAAGATAGACTTCAATGGTTGCAACATTTTTAGGACACTCTGTATTTTACCAAAATGTAAAGAAAAACAATCGAAACGCTCAAACGAGCCCTTTCGAAGACGCAGCGTACATTTGGATTTAATCTATGTTTCCAGATATTCGCAGGACTGGCCGCGCATTCCGGTCAAATTTCCGTGGGTCTCGGACAGGGATTCAGCGCCATTTTGATCCCGCAGCTGCTGCAAAGCAACTTCGCCGATTCGTCCCAAACCTCTTGGATAGCGTCCTTGGGTGTCGTATCCAATCCCTTGGGATCTTTGATCGCTGGACTGTGCGCGGAATGGTTTGGAAGAAGGTCAGCTATCGCTCTGGCCAGCTTGCCGCATGCTGCTGGTTGGTTGTTGATAGCGTTATCAAAAAACGTGCCGATGCTGTACGCAGGTAGATTCATCAGCGGAATCGGCATGGGCATGGCGAACGGCCTCTACCTTTACGTCAGCGAGGTATGTAATCGCATTCCTATCGAATATTTTCGAATTTCTTTTTCGCGCTGGCTTGGCGATTTCCTGCTGGAATTTTTAGGAGATTTTGGCGCAACAAGTTCCAAGATTCACGACCTATGCTCGATCTTTTACAGCGAAGCGTTCGCTATTAAATCACCACTGGAACTACTCCGAACCATTTTGAACGTTGGCTACGAATTTTCGTTGGTAACGAAAATTGAAACAGAGAGCTGAAATTTCTAAAGAATTTGTTTTTAGTTATTTCGAATTATTGAAGACCCTGAAAGCATATTATTTAGTATGGTTTTGGAACTAGCATATTATAATGACATTGGACTTATATGAATTGGTTGAAATCGAGGAATGTATGTAAACGAGAAGTTGGTTTCCCGTTTAGTTAGGGTCCGTGTGTGTCGTATGATTGGTAGCCATGTGAGGCGTATGGTTGGTGGCAGTGATTAGGGATAGCGTGAAAAATCACTAATAATGATTTTTCACGGTGATCAGACAATTACGATCGCAGTCGTGATTAAACTTCGATCACGACCGTGATTCGAAAGATGGCGTTTCAGAAGCGGTTCATGTTCATTATTATCGTTAGTGTATCACTGTCTCCCCTTAGCAGAAATTCAAGAAACTACAAATGAGTCAAATTTAAATTGTATTAAAATTATATTAACATTGCTTTTAGACCATATTATAATACATATATAACCCAAGAACAACATAATTCGTGAAAAGTGAAAAGAATGTTCTGTACCAATCAGAAGCGATTACGAAGAATCACGAATGACTGTGAAAAACCGTCGTGATTGAGAACGAACATGATTGAATCACGAATGATTCAAAAGTAGCAGTTCACGCCATCTCTAGCAGTGATGGGCAAAACCCTAGGCTTCGAATAAATCTGAAGTTTGCCGACATGTTCGTCGCGTTTCCTTCTTTGGAAAATGTTCAAAAAAGGAAACGAGACAAACATATCGGCAAACTTCAGATTTATTCAAAATCTAGGGTTTTGCCCATCACTGGTTGGTGGCCGTGTGAGGCGTAGGGTTGGTAGCCGTAGAAGGGACGTCGCAACCGAGCAAGCAGATTCAGTGGATGAAAGTGGCTTGTGTATATTTTGTAAATTTTGATTTTCCTAAATTCTTTTATTGATAATTTTATATTTAGTTTGTTCCTGACGTAATTAATGACTTTAAAAACCAATTTGATAGGTAATATCATTTCATTGTATATTTCATGTTAGTATCAGAACCTAATATAAATAAATTTCATACGAACATTGGTTTGAAGTTTTACTACATGAAGAACCAACTTACATGTATATTTGTAAAAAAATCAATACTTTATTTTTTATAATTTTGTACAGTGTGATAAACTTTAAAACATTCCCCAAAATGCATTGCAGGCTGATTAGTGCACGTTTGACAATAATAAGTTGTTTGACACCTACCACCAGATGTTTTCCTGTCAGAACAAACAATGCATATACTTACATAGACATATACGTATGGAATGTACAAGTAATTATTTTTATTATGTGTATTGCATGAGACCAACAACATCTGACTTATATTTTATAATATTTCTCTTAAGTTTGATGTACAAAGTACTATTCCTGTTTGTTTTATTCATATAATTTTGATATCGATGAACATAATATACATTCTGTCTTAAAAACACTATCAAGTTAATTCTGTGTCACATAATCTAAAAGAATATATATGTATAGCTGTAAAAATTATAGAATAATATTTGGACAAAATCTAACCATAAAAAATTATTAACATCGTCAGAAAATACTAGGAACGTTATTACCTTTCAGAAACACAACAATTTATTTAACAAGACTTAATGTTAACTGAAGTTAAGTTACTTATAAGACTGCATATTTTTATGCATTTATAAGGAATTTAAATGTGCAAGAAATTACGAAATGCACACAGTATGCAAGAATATAAAAAATATTGATGGTAAAGTTCATATTATAATATTTGCAGAGTAAAATAAATTCCTATTTGGGTTCTATTTTTGTAGGTACATTTGCCAAGATTTTATTTTGCATAAAGATCTGCAACCTACTTATAACCAATAGTAGTTAATGCGACTCTAAACTTTTATTTAAAAAAAAAAATATATACGTATATACGATAATATAAACCATCCATATGTTTGATTGCTACGAAAACTGGTACTTTAATATAACAAAATGGCCAGGAAATATTTCTATTCGAACTACAGTTAGGAATAATTAAAAGTTAAGGTAACAAAATTAATTGTTAGAATTGATTCATTGTTCACAGTTTAGCGATCTAAAAATGTATGAAATTGTTTCTATGTAAACGTTGTGGTTGTTGTTTTAACTAGGACTAGCAATACGTAAAACAAACACGTTAACATTTCAGAAGCACCCGCTAACATTTAGTTTGTAATGCCAGCTGCGTGCACGAAATTTATTCGGTGAGTTCACAGGCCTCGGTTGCAGCAATTTTTTTTAACATCCTGACTTCTTTGGAAGCCTCTGTACTGTAGCGAGCAAATTCCAATTTTACATTGTGAAAATATAAATTCAAACACACATTATATATAGAATATTCTACATATATTCATATGAATGATTAAAAACTTAGATTCGTCTAAAGACATAGAAAATGCATAAAACAGTATATCCTTGAAGTAATTATTCCTATTAATGCAATTTTCTCGTGACTTAGAAGATCAATCGTCTGGGCAAGTGAAAATAATAAAAAATAATACGATCAAATTCAAACAAGTTGCTCATTATGTTTTGTTACAGCCAACTTTTTAATTTATTAAAAGCTTTAGTCTCTATATGTACCTAGATTCCTGATTCCTGAATATCGATTAAATTGGTCAAATATAAATGCAAATTATTTATTCGTTTAATAAAGTAAGAACCATTTAGTACACAGGAGTAATACATAATGTAAATACAAAAATAAAGATTAAAGTGGTAAACTTGAAACTAAACTGAAATTATATTAATGAATCTTCAATTTCAGGCTGCAGCACCGAATCAGAGGGCTTGGCTAGGAAGCTGCGGCCCTGTGTTAGTGTCACTCGGTGTCCTAATGATCTACACACTAGGTGCATTCACGACGTGGCAGAGAGCCGCGGCGATTAGCATCGGACCCGCGATCCTCTCCTTGGCACTGACACGGTAATTACTAGCTAATGTTACCACGTAATGTCTCGCGGATACAAAAACGGAAACGCGTCATAAATCCATCGTATGATTGAAACGAAAACCAAGGAACGATCTTTCGTCAATATCGTGAGTTTTTAGGTTTTTAGGTTTTTATTTTTCAGGATGTTTCTATTTGGTCGTCGTCCTGGAAGAGAAAGAAATTCGTTAAATAAATAAATTTATCGTGTTATATTTTTCATATTTCAATTTATTTATTTAACAAAATTTCTTTTTTTAAATTTCACAATTTATCGTGTTACATTTTTCATATTCCAATTTATTTATTTAACGAATTTCTTTTTTTAATTTCCACAATTTATCGTGTTATATTTTTCATGTTCCAATTTATTTATTTAACGAATTTCTTTTTTTAAATTTCACAATTTGTCGTGTTATATTTATCATATTGTAATTTATGTATAATCGCTTTTAAGGGTGCGCAGGAGTCAGAACAAGAAACTCCGGGACAAGGATAGAGAGGGTGATACAATTGCAAGAGAGACGAGGACAGGACTATTAGGCTAGCATGATTTTTTTTACAGGATATTGAAGCAAAGAAGCAATATTTTCTAATAATTCTGGTCTAATAATTCAGACTCCAAAGCCTGATTTTGCAATTTCGCCCCTTAAAACTTTATAAACAATAAAAGTACGTTCTTTTTTTTCTTATAGAAGAAATTTGTTTACATATATTTTTTCCAACATCAAGCCCTAGAGTCGCATCCACCAAAGTGTAACGAATATATTAAAACCAGAATTATTAGAAAATATTGCTTCTTTGCTTCAATATTCTGTAAAAAAAATCATGCTAGCCTAATAGTCCTGTCCTCGTCTCTCCTGCAATTGTTGTATCGCCATCTCTGTCAAGGACAGAGGACAAGGTCCCGGAGTTTCCTACTTTTTCCGCGACTGTCGCTGAAGTCAATTCGGAGTTCTATTGTGGGGACTTTCCCCTAGGCTTGGTCATGTTGGCACTACCGTCGCGTCGACGTGGGGTTTTTCCAGAGTTTGGCGAGCGTGCGACGATCGAGGGTTCAACTTTTTTTGACCAGAGGCGCTTCCTCATACGTGTGCTTACGTGCTGTTACGTACGAAGTCAATACCTTCAAAACTAGTGTTATTATAGTATTAAATAAATTAAACACCGTTCAGAAGTTATACGTCTATCACGCATACTATTGTTAGTAAACCAATCTCCACATTGTTCTGACTCCTGCGCACCCTTAACGAAGCCTCGGACAACATTTTTGCTAAACAAGCTGTTACAACATTTTTGGGACACCTTGTTAAGAACTGTATACAAAAGTTCGAAAATGGTCATTGTAGGTCGTGGTAAGTTTAGTGTTAATACCAAAATGCTTGATTGTTTCAAAACCCTAAATTGCTCTATCCTCTGATCGAGTCAAAGGTTTATGTTCTCTCAGGATGATTCCCGAGACCCCAGGTTGGCTGGTGGCCCGAGGACGAAGCGAGGAAGCGAAAGAGTCGTTGCTGTGGTTGCGGGGCCCCGGTTCGAGTACCGACAGAGAGTATCAAGACTTGTGCGAGATAAACCTGAAGAGAGAAGAGAAGAAGGACAACCTTGTAAAAGCTCTTCACATGCCAAGCGTATGGAAGCCCTTTCTTATACTCGTCGCCTTCTTCGCGTTGCAACAAATGTCCGGGATCTACATAATCCTATTCTACGCTGTGAGCGTTCTCGAAGACATCGACGTGGACATAGACCTGAACGAGTACTCTGCGAGCGTTGGCATCGGTGTGATCAGATTGTTTGCGTCGATCGTTGGCGCTGGTCTCGCGAACAGCTTTGGCAGAAAAGTGCTGGCCTTTGCCAGTGGTCTAGGAATGGCGATCTCCGCTATGGGCGTTGCTGTAGCCTTCAGGTTTGTATTGTTTATTATTACATTGCGGATCTTTATGCAAATTCGAATTTGTATAGATTCAGATAAAAAATTCAGATTTAAATAAAAGTATATAGTAAGATTATATTAACATTGCTTTTAGACCATATTATAATACATATATAATCTAAGAACAACATAATTCGTGAAAAGTGAAAAGAATATTCTTTACCAATCAGAAGCGATCACGAAGAATCACGAATCACGGTGAAAAATCATTGTGATTGAGAATGAATGCGATTTGAATCACGAATGATTCAAAACTAGCAGTTCACGCCATCTCTAATGTTATTCACGGACTTCTCAAGTACACCCCGATCGATAAGTAGATCAATGAACATGTTAGAGGGAAGACACGGGTAATGCAGTGAGGTGACATTACCGGCAAAAATGGGCCTAAAAAGGGGTCCGGGACTTTTCGTTTTTCGTCCTTATATTAGCATATTTTGGGTTGAATGAGGGCTCATTCGAAAGAGGAAGGTCCAACGAAGGGTGCTCTGGTCATCATTTGTGTCACAAAATCCATTTAGTAACCTAGAAATACTTTCATTCTGCGGGTGTGTTTTGCTCGATTTTTGTTTGACTTTGGACGCTCATATTATTAAATATCAACACACTCTCGTCCAATCATGACTAGAGCACCCTTCAGCCAAAAATATGCTAATATAAGGACGAAAAGCGAAAAATCCCGAATCCCTTTCTAGACCCATTTTTGCCGGTAATGTTACCTCGCTGCATTACTGGCAAAATTGGCGAAAAAAGAGGTCCGGGACTTTTCGTTTTTCGTTCTTATATTAGCATATTTTGATTTGAATGAGGGCTCATTCGAAAGAGGGAGGTTCAATACAGCACGCTCTGGTCATAACTTAACGATAAGTGTCCAAAGTAGAGCAAAAATACGATAAAATACACCTGGAGAATCCAAGCATTTTTAGGTCACTAAAAGAGTTTTATGGCTTAAAAGATGATCAGGATGTGCTGCACTGAATCTTCTTCTTTCGAATGAGCCCTCACTCAGCCTCAAATATTCTCATATAAGGACGAAAAAGTCCCGAACCCCTTTCTTCGCCCATTCTTGCCGGTAATGTCACCTCGCTGCATTACCCGTGCTGCTTTATCAACGCGATAGTGGTGTCTCACAGAGATGGGCAAAACCTTAGGCTTCGAATAAATCTGAAGTTTGCCGATGTGTTCGTCTCATTTACTTCTTTGGAAAATGTTCAGAAGAGGAAACGAGACAAACATATCGGCAAACTTCAGATTTATTCGAAGCCTAGGGTTTTACCCATCACTGGTGTCTCACAGAAATTCCCTAGATCTAGTCATGGTCATTGAGGGCTATCCTAACTGGAGTGTGAACTGCGAGAGAGATGCAAGATGAGTGGTTCCGGTGGTACTATCCTATAACAAATTTATGTGTGGAGGGAGAACAGACTCCTCTTTGTTTGAATTTCGCGGCGCTCTAGGAATTATTTACAGATTAATTATGTAACATAATAATGAAATAGTATACATAATTTACATACCATAATTTAGATCCTACAAATATATAAAATTTGGTATAGAACTAAATTTTATTATTTGTTACAATTCAATTTATATTGTATTTATCCAATTTTATGCGGAAAAGAATCTGAAAGTAACACTCGACAATGCTCAGCGATGCTCAGGTAGGTTATGTTACGGCGTACGTTTGTTCCCCCCTCTACAAATAAATTTGCTATAGAATAATACCGGAACCACCCATTTTGCATTTCTCTCGGAACTCTGTCGCCTCTACTTCTTCCTACAGGAGTTCACACTCCAGTTAGGATAGAGCTCAATGGTTGGAACTCCTTATACAGTCTTCATGGCCCAATCACTACTTGACACGAATCTGCTGCTTTATCAACGCGATTCTGGTGTCTCACAGAAATTCCCTAGATCTAATCATGGGAAACTGGTGGCGAGCCTGAGTTCGATATGCGGCTCGGGTTATTTTTGTTGTTATCGGACAGAGATGGGCAAAACCCTAGACTTCGGAATAAATCTGAAGTTTGCCGATGTGTTCGTCTCTTTTCCTTCTTTGGAAAATGTTCTAAAGAGGAAAGGAGATAGACATATCGGCAAACTTCACGTTTATTCGAACTATTTATTCATACGATAAATCGTATGACGTTGCAAGAACACGCAATTACACACGCTTATACTTTAATTATGAAGTGTTAATAAAGGACCCTATCCATATCATAAAAAGGTGTATCATTATTGTGGAAAAGAATGTAATAACGATAAAACGACTTTTCTTTTTTCAGATTCAAGCTACCATCGATAATGTCTCTGATATGCATCGGAGGTCACGTAGGATCGTCGATGATAGGGTTCCTCACTTTGCCCTGGGTGATGACCTCGGAGCTGTATCCACTGAGGTTCCGAGGACCCCTGGGAGGTATCACCACTAGCCTAGTGCAAATGTTAACGTTCGCGACTATTAAACTGTATCCAGATCTGCGTTCACTGGTTGGCATGGAGTCCACGATGTGGATGTTCGGTGGTGTCAGCCTTTTAGGAGCTTTGTTCGCTATAACAATTCTACCGGAGACTAGAGGTCGAAGCCTGGACCAGATAGAAAGTGGATTCTCCAGCAAGCCAGCGTGGAATAGTGCCATGCAGACCTTGCCAACCGTGTGTGCTCAACCAAGAAACATTACGCTTCAGAAGTTCTCTTCTATCTCCGAAGAGAAGCACCATAACATGCTGGCGAATACATATGTTTACGATAACTTCTGTTTGGACTTGTCTCATGACGATAGTGTGGATGCTAAAAAGGATCCTGCGAAAGGCTCGGACACCAAGAGCGACGTTATACACACCATCTCCTTGGAACACGTTTACCTCTGATGAACCAAAGGATTCCAGAAGCATTCGTTTTCGTGAATCTAAACCAAAGTTGGAACACCTCTGTAGAGTAACTCATTGGCTGTACATCTAATTATCAGTTGTTTCATTGGTAGCTCTTTTTTTTATCTGATTTAGCATCGATATTTATCTTTAGATAGGATCATAGGTTGCCTTTAAAACACATTAACGCTAGCTATGCAGGAGATTTCTCAACAGAAATTTTCTGGATTTAGAAGGATTAAAGAGAAATGAATTTGGATATACGCTTGGACCTTTGTATATGAATAAAAGTCAGCGTAAGTGATTAGTGAAAAGTATAAACTGTTTCTAGAAAAGAGTGCTCCGTAAACCTAGCGTTAAAGAGATTATGATATATGGATACTATGACATAGAAGGTCGCAACTTTAAAAAGGACAAAAATGTTCAGTTTACTCTGAAGGAAAGTGACTTTTGAGATTCTCATGAAACTTTTTTTTAATGTCTACTGGAGCAAAAGAGACAATCAGGTGTTCTGCTTCCGGTAGAGGCCATTTTATGTACAATTGTTGATTACTTTGACTGTAGTTACCGAAACTTTCGGGAAGATGAACACTTTGGGATGTTGTTCTCGAGGTGTTCTCGTCATTGTGATATTCTAATACTGACGACGCGAAGTATTTATCGAATAACCGATACTTGAAATTTGCCAAACGACTCACGGTCAGTATTAAGATCATTCCTACGCCTTTTTTTTAAATGTGTTCGTTGTAAGCCGTCAGACGAGTTGTCGAGGTTCGCACGATTCTTCTAAGGCTTTAGCCAACGATCGCTTGTTCGTTTTTACGATGAATGTGTTGGCACTTTATCTACTGATCTATTTAGAAAGAGTCCACACCTTAGCCTAAGATTTTCTACGGTTGCATACAGTGTTTCATTTTAACTTGAACTCCGTAATAACTCAATAACATGGGGTTTTAACAAAAAAATTAAGTTATCAATTCCATTATATGATAAATGGCGCCCTTTCGATATTTCTTCATGGCTGCCACTTTTTTTAAATGTAAGTCAATTTTGTGTCCTAACGAAAATTGTAGCTGGTATTGAGACGAAAACACCGGTTGTTGTTTCTTGTTTCATTTGAATCAGTTTTGACCGAGTTACAGCGTTTTAAAGTTTGTTGTTTTCCAAATTCGTCTCAATACCAGTTACAATTTTCATTAAAACAAACAAATCTTTATATTAATTAATAACTCCTCTTCTCAACTCCCCCTCGCAACAATAAAACATATGTCTGAAACATTTTTTTGCTAAAAGCCCATGTTTTCGAGTTAACCCTTTGCACTCGAGAGATGACTCTCAGTCATCATTAGATTTCACGCAGCAAATCTATCAGCAATAATGTTTCTTTAGGTTTAATTTCTTTGGAACTCGAAGTGCCAATAAAATGATTGTCGGTGAGGTAAAGGTGACCTGACTCTCAAATCTCGATAGCTTAGCATTCGTGGCAATAGAATGCTAAGAAAACATCTCGAGTCGCTGATAGATACTAGAAAAAAGGGCCCCAGTGCAAAGGGTTAAAATGGGGCAACCTGTATATTAATCTAGGCTGACTAATGCTTCGGCGTAAAAAAACACATCCTAGTAGTTACTTTACTGTTACATTTACTGTTTCAGCCGTTAAAAAATTCATATCTTTATTTCTTCTATTCATTTATTAATTTTGCCCTCTTTTAGGACTCTTAAGTAGACGCTGAGTCGTCCTACCCGAGAAGAATAGTCTGCGAAAATCTAGAACTCTATTTCAGTAAATTGTGTACGAATCGATTTGCAAATTTTTGAAAAACTTCATCGAACATTAAGTAACAACTGTCTCACTGGAAATTATTTCGAACGCAAATTTCCCTCGATACTTTTTGACGGTGAAGATGAGAAATGAGAACATCGTTAGCTAGGAGTTACTCATTTGCAACTGATCGTATCGTTGGAACCTACTACGTATCTATACAAAATTAGAAAGATTTTCCATGACATTCGGCCAAGTTACAACGATTTATATTTTGAAATCTAATTGAATTTCAGAGAAAAACATTTTTTATTTTTTAAACTAAACGTTGAATGAATAAATTGTAAGTATAAAAAAGTTTCGTCTTGTCATTCTCTATAAGGAGAAATTTTTTCAAAATCGATTTGACGAATTTAAAAAGTTCATCTACTTGGACGTGGCGCTTAAACTAATATACTTCCAGCAAAAATTGTGCCGCGGTCAAAGGGTTAAACTAAACTGACGATTAACTTTTGCACACTGTTACTAGATATATCATAAGCCTTGTCTGTTTCCAAAATTGAGCTTTGAAAGTAAATCACCAACAACACAGTTAATAAATTCCAATGTTACATGATACAATTGAAAAGCCTATAAATAAGTTCCCAGTAGATAAAGTGTTAATAAGCTTCTTGTTTCCAACGTTTATCAATCGTTAGCCTTTTACTAGCCTTCTTGATCGACACTTATGAATCGCTCTTTATAGTAATGAATACTTCGTTAAAATGGTATTAAATTGAATTACGAATACAAGTATTTGCACGTGACAGTCTTAACCAAAATAGAGCCGATGCCAGATAAATGTTTACGGCCGAATGAGATGTGCGTAGGGCGTTTAACCACTACCAGTCGGTAAAGTGTTAAGTATCAATGGAAGAAGACAACCAAACATATCGTAGACTTTTCAAAACAAGGATGACGAGACGTCCTCGAAACGGTATAATTGAGAAGTAAAAACGACGGTGCTCTCTATTATTAGTAATAATGATCGAGTGTTTCGCATGAGAATGGATTAGAAGAATCGCGCGAGCCTGATTATACAACTATTTATGTCTATAGAGACATATTTATACTTATAAGAATGTTTGTATGATGAAATGTTTCTTGTTGCCGATGCATTGCGTAACTCGTGATACTTGTACATACAATTCTACGCGAACAATTTGTAAATAATGTTGTTATTGTAATGCTAAATATACTATTTTTTCAAAAAAGGAAACTCATGTATTTATTTAATTAAATACATTCGATATATTTTTGCTGGTTAACGAAACACGTTGCTCGGTTTCGTTTCCAAGTTTCAGTGCTTATCAAATTTCGCACGTTTGCAAAGGAAACAGGATACTCGTTCGATGAAATGACAAGACGGTGACATAAAAATAAAACCGAACGTCGCTTATTGATTACAAATGCATCACGTAGTACAGATGCACAATATTGGCAGTAGCACTTTAAAAGTTATAGCGCGATTTCGATGTGGTACAGTATTAAATTCCTGGAGCTCACGTTGTATATGTGTATACGGTCGGCGGTATTGAAAAATATTTATCAATATGTACAGCGGATACGGTTTTCTATCTTTCAGTGAAAAATACTGTAACTGAAATTCGCGCGGTTCGCTTAAACTACGTACAAAATTGGAGATTGCTTTGTTCTATTTAATATTACTCTCGGTCCTCTCGCTACTATTTAGGTATCCCTTTGTTCAAGCGATTATTACAATATTAATATGTACAATAAAAATACATATTCCATGCGCACGATATGATTCAAAATCTCTTTCAATCGATTGATATAAGTAGAAAATAATTTACTGAGCATTCTAGGTATCATATATACGTCGATAGCGATAATAAGTACAGAATAGTTTCGGTGAATCGGTCTTCGCTAGTTCAACACGTTCAGTTATCTGATTGAAATATTCTGGCTTTCATATTTCCACTTCTTACAATGAGGACTACCAGAGAACTACAGTGGGTGTAGAATGTATTCGTACACCGATCAATTTACCAAAAAATTTTTGTGTGAAATTGTAGTTTATTCACTTCTTTTTTTGTAATCAATGATATTTTACATATTCTCGGAAGTCTCTAAGGTAGATATAGTCCAAACAACATTTACTAGTTAATATAATTTGTGAAATTAACAAAAAGATGCGAAAAGTGAGTGAAAGTATAGAAGCAATAAGTATTTGTACGATTCTTATGACGAAGCATTTACAGTAGAATTTGTAACATAGACACATCAGTTTATGCTCCGTACGAATTAGAAAACGTCAAATTTCCAGTAAAGTACTTTTAAACAATTGTGCGAATACTTATTGCTTCAACATTTCTATCGATTAATTGTTTTTTTTTGTTAATTTCGCAACTTACATAAATAGCTATTTTTTTGTAATCTATCTATTCTAGAGATTTCCGAGAATATGTAGAATGTCATTGCTTATAAAAAAATAAGTTAATAAATTACAATTTTACAGTTTTTTTGGAAATTGATCGGTATACAAATACGTTCTACACTCTCTGTAAATACGGGTCTAGTTTCATTCTCCAGGTACGTTAGTCTAAAGTCATTTCATTCGCCAGCATCCATTTATAATTTATAAAATTATATTCTCACGTCAAATATTAAATAATTTGAAGAAAAGATGTATCTTATATCAAATTCATTTTAACACGCTAAATGCCAGATGAAATAAAAAAGAGATAAAATTTTGTTTTGAGACAATTGAAACCTACGTAATCTAACGTTTATCGAATGCTTCTTTCTGTAACGTTATCAATGTTCATGACTCTTAACCAGATTTATTTTCTTTAACATTTTTACCTTCAAAATTATGTTGTTTGGTTCCGTGGTAAAAATCTTTGCCATCCATATGCCAATATACTGAAACTATACTGTATAGAATTACGCGTGACAATTATCAAACGCGCAGATTTGATGGGCATTCCGAATAACGAACCAGTATTCCTTGTATAATTCGCGAAGAGATAAAATAAGTGTCGTACAGTGAATCCTCGAACTATGCAACTTGGCAGAGACTCGGTTGTGTACCCACTTCACGTCCTCATACATATTTTGCATGCATGTAACTGCGTACTAAAGCAAGTTTTTGTTTCCTGGTTTTTTCTTCTAATAAAGAAGTACATATTGCTCTATTTAACTTAAATTGTGCGTATAATTCTTTATCTATGCTTAGACCTTTTTCTATCCTTTCGTATCAGTATTACTTAGTGCATGTTATATTTGCGTTAATAATATTGTCGTTACATGTACAGTTCCAAAAAAGCGAGTGTCAATGTCTCCAGTCCGTAGGAAAATACAGAAACGTTGTTAACGACAATATAATATGTATAGTATGCAATGTTAATACGAAGGAATGCAGCGGACGATCACTTTACGAAGTATAAATAACAATATTTATTCTATCTTTTCGCAAGCTATATAGAAAATACTGGTTTCGCGAATAGAATGTTGATGGCGTGTATGTTTTCGACAATGTCATGTATATAAAGTAATAGAACCAGGCTCTCATAAGCCTGGGTTCGAACCGATTCCAGGCACCATTTCGCAGCATCGGTATTTCTATGAGTTGCTTCAACGTTTGAAGTTTGAGACCCGCGATGGTCTGGCTGCGACGACTATTGTCAGTAAAACTCGGAATCTGAGCTGTGCTGGGAGTCACCACTCCTGCCATTTAAATACACTTCCGACGTTTGTTGAATCGACGGAGACTGTTGCGCTGCTTCCCAATGTTGACCTGCGACAATAATATAATGAATTTATCAGAAATACTTTTAATCGATCTCTTTGGGGAGGAGGATGAACACGCAGGGCGAGCTTTGTCGCAGAAGATTTTTAAGAATTTTACTATGTATAATCTGTAAATACCAGTGCTGTGATGCCAGTATTTTCAGATTGCGCATGCGCATTGTCTTTTGCATCAGGAGAGTATCTAGTACAATCATAAAACTGGCGCCCTTAGTCGCCCCAAAAAATAATAAAAGTATACAAGAATTGGGACCACGCATCGTCTTCTATAGTTACAGTACTATGCTTTCAGCTTTTTAAGACGCGTATCTTGGAAGTAATACTGGCATCAAAGCAGACAATTATACAGGATGTCCTAAAAATGTTGGTACACCTGGAAATGGGTGGTTCGGGAGGTGATTCGAAACAATTTTTTCCTTAGCGAAAATGTTGTCCGAGGCTTCGTTGAGGAGATATTAACGAAAAACGTCAACCAATCAGAGCGCGCGGATACCGTTGGAGCGGCAGCGGTAGCGAAGGCTACGAGCTAAGCGGCCGCGTCAATGGCCTTTGATGCACGTTGAGTCATTTGTTCGCGTACAAGCGCGGCCGCTTAGCTCGTGCCTTCGCTACCGCGGGCGCTCCACCGGTATACGCGCGCTCTGATTGGTCAGTGTTTTTCGTTAATATCTCTTCAACGAAGCCTCGGACAACATTTTCGCTAAAGAAAAAGTTGTTTCAAATCATCTCCCGAACCACCCATTTCAAGGTGTACCAACATTTTTGGGACACCCTGTAGAACTGCGCGCTCAGCTTTTAACGATGCGCATGCGCGAGTTGGAAGCAACACTGGCATTAGAGCGTGTAGCGTGAGCTATTTTCTTCAGAAGCGGTTTTACCTAATTTCATTTTGTTTTAAGTTACATTATCTTCACATTATATTTATGTTCATACAGTGAAGAGAATAACTGTATCAATAATCAGAGATTTCGTATAATTCATTTTATATTGCCATTAACAAATAATAAATATACAAAAAATAAATATAACAGAAACATTTTGCACTATTTAATGTAATATAAACAATTTTTTAAAGTTGTCGATGTGTTGTTGTTCATCTATAACGTAGAATATTCATTGGTACAGTTTTTCAGGATATTTTTATCAATATGATTTTCTAGTTTTAATAATATACGGGTGAATAACAACACATGGAAATTTAAAAAAATGGAATATGTTACATTAAATAGTGTAAAATGTTCCTGTTATATGTATTTTTTGTATCCCTTAATGTTAATGACAATATAAAATGAATTATATGAAACCTGTGGTTATTAGTACAGTTATGCTCTTCACTATATGTATATTATTTCATATAAAACAGGTGATTGAATCAAACGTTATAATAATTTATGTGTCTTATTAACTGCGCAACCATGCCAGTGTCCCTTCCAAGTGGCGCATGCGCCTCGTTAAAAGGTGAGCGCGCAGTACTGTAGCTATAGGAAACGCGGCGTGGTCCTAATTCTTTTATACTTTTATCAATCTTTGGGATGACTAAGGATGCCAGTTTCATGGTTGTATTAGACACTCTACTGACGCAAAAATAATTGCCCATCATAGAGTCATCGCTGTAAATTATGCTACTTGTCAGGGTCTAATATCCCTAAATTGTCCTTGATTGGCAACACTCCGATGTGTCATTTTGGTATTTTCCCTCTTTTGTAGGACTTTATTTTGATATGACTTGCACAAAGATCGCTGCAATACTGTCGTTTCGGGCTGCACCGGAGTGCAGTGTTAAACAAAATACAATCTGCACCTCAGTGCAGTATCATGCAACGGATATATCGGTATGTAGGTATGTATCTGCTACAAACTATACGTACAACCTAATAAAGTCTATTTTTACAATAACTGGTGTGTCCTCATTCAGTCGACCATTATAAATTACGCTATTAAACATACCATGAGCGGCAAGGATAGTGGCCAAACAACGCGCCACAGCACGATTCGGAGCGCACGCCAGTGCAGGAGTTAAACCTTCCCCATCGACAGCCACAACGCTTGCTCCTAATTGCAACAAATGGCGCGTTACCTATAAGAGTAAATGTTAATAATTTAGCATAGAATAGTAACGAAATCTTGGTAGCGTTACTTTTTAAAAAGTAGTAAAAAACAATTTGTATAATCTTTTAATGGGGGATTCTGGTGTAGAACTTTCAAAATATCCTTTTTTCAAGAAGGACTGTACAAGATCACTCGTACTACGTTAAATTTTATTTTTATCTGCAAAAAATTGTGTATGTTTGTAAAATGTAAAGAAATATATGTCAAAACCCTCTTTAAAAATTCCTTATAGATTAAAAAACAAAACCTTTAAAAAGAACTAACAATTGTTGCCGAAGACCAGAATACCCGCTTAAGCGATAAAACTAGCTTCCTTACTTTAACAAGTCCATTCCTCGCTGCCAAGTGTAACGGAGTCCTTTGTTGTTTATTGGTCATATTAATAACGGCTAGGCGCTGTTGTTGCGATTGTGTTGAATTTTCCTCGCTCGAATTACCCGAATCAATCCAATTTAACAGTAGTAAAGCAGCAGCAGAGTGTCGTCTTAGACAAGCCAAGTGCAGTGCTGTATTCTTGTTGCAATCAACGGCGCTCACGTCAGCTTCTCGCTCGAGCAATATCTCTATTATTGGAAGATCATAATAAACACAAAGAATGTAAATACAGTAAAGTTTTATATTAAACAAAAATTACCAATGACACCACATTGGCCCGTAACAGCGGCACAAAGAAGAGGCGTTCGGCCTAAATAATCTCGGGATTCGAGACCAGCGATATCTGGACCAACGGACTTCAATATTAATCTCGCGCATTCGACGGTACCTGCACTGGCTGCAACGTGTAGAGGTAGTCGATCGCCCGGATTATCCTTTAGACCAGCAACTGCTTTTCCTCCAAATTTCTTTATTAATAGCTTCAAACAATCCACCGATCCCTGATACACCGCACAGTGTGTAGCAGAAAATGGATGACCTGCGCTTAACAAAAACAATTTAGATTCAGAAAGAATGTAGATTCGTTAAGGGGTAACGTCACTCTAGAAGCTGGAAAAAGGCCTACCTTTGATAATTAAGTTTGAGAGTATCGCAAAAGGAATAGAATTTCTTTTCTCAGGGTACATATTCAAGTATGCAACAAGATTGTTGTATTATAATTTTAGTACAATATGGGGGTGACAGAGCGAGTTTCTAAAATTGACATTTTTTAAAACGCCTTCATGGGAAGACGGTTTTTTCGTTGCGTATAACATCTGGAACAAAAAATTAAAACTTTTATAATCTATATAATATTGGCTATAGAAGTACGTAGGATTTTTTTTTAATTAAATTTTATAGAAATAGTACACTAATTCATTTTCTGGGAAGAAAATAAAAATAATAAATTGTTAATATAAACGAATTTACGTTAAATAAAAAGAATCCTACATACTTTTATAGCCAATAGTATATAGATTATAAAATTGTTTGGTGTTTTGTTCCAGATGTTATAATAACGAGAAAACTGTCCTTCCGTAAAGATGTTTTAAAAACAGTAAATTCTTAAGACTCGTACTGTCACCGCCTTTTTATACTAAAATTATAATGCAAAATTTTTTTTTATACTTTAATATTGATTATAAAAACCCAGTAAAAAGAAATCCTATTCCTTTTGCGATACTCTCAAAATTAATTATCAAAGTTAGACCCCTTTTTTTAGAAGCCTCTAGAGCAGCGTTTCTCAACCGCCGTTATACCAGGCCGCGGAAAGAGATTGGATAGTTTTGTATGTATATACAAATATGTGGACCAATAATTTTTATGATTATACCATAATTAATAGTTATTGATACTTATGTCATTATTAATACTTATACATACATGAACCTCAAAAAATTTCATAAAGTATTTATGTATTAAATTTACCGGGCCGCGATTAGATAAAGGTTGAGAAACACTGCTTTAGACGACAAGAGATATGTACCCTCCAATGATTCGATTACGTCTTGTTTCAAAAGATAATCCACGCAATTAGAGTTTCCACTGTAACAAGCCCAATGAAGAACAGTACAATTTTGATCGTCTTTTAAGGTTGCAGCTTCGGGATCAGCTTTTACCAGCTCGGCTAATGATTTCACCCTACAAAAAAGTAAAGACCAATGAAGAGAAAATATACAGTGGCTTACGAAACTATTTAGACACTTTTGAATTAAATGTTTAACGCTTACAGAAATCCGTATGTATTACTATTTCCAAAATACTTCTTTGAAGTAATAAAATCATGATGTTCAATTACATGTTAGACTCAGATACCCTTCGTCGTGTTAAGGCAATGTTTATGCCTTGAATTCTATGACGTTCTATTATTTACGTCATATATGATCAGTTAGAGTACTTGCAAGTTATCGATAGACTAAGAGTATTTTGAAAATCACAATACAACTTCATCGTAGCGAGTGTTAAACGTTTGATTCGAAAGCGTTGGAATACTTTCGCAAACCACTGTAAATTTGCCTTTAATGGAATAAAAGACACCAACTTTCCACATGCAGCAGCTAAATGCAACGGCGTTTTACCATTTGTATCCTGTACCGCTACCTGCGCACCGCGCGATAACAACAACTTCACTAGTTGCTGATCGTGTTCGCTAAACACTGCTCGAAATAATGGCGTGTGTTTGTTTATGTCTGGCAAATTACAATCAGCTTTATAACTTAAAAGTGAAATGACGCACTCTGTATTACTATGTGACACTGCTAATGTTAAAGCAGTACGTTGCTTTGCGTCGAAGCAATCAACTACGCTTGGATCTTCCGTGTTTTCCAAAAGAAGTATTAGACATAAACTGTGACCTGCAGCAGCTGCACAATGCACTGGAGTACGTTTTGCAATAGAATCCTAAATATAAATTAACAATATTCAGTGACAACATAAGAACCGTTTACAGCCTAAGAAATATTAAACCGTTTAGCTCATACTTGAACGGATACGAAAGCTCCATGTCTTAACAATAACTCGACGCACTGTCGATGACCTTTACAAGATGCTAAATGCAAAGGCGTTTTGCCGGTATTGTCTTTAATATTAGTATTTGGAAATAATGGTAAAAGTAAGCTCAATATTTCACTGTGTCCATAATATGCCTGTAAGAACATACACGTGGAATAATTAATAGTATTGACGATGATACTAAAGATTATATTATTGGATGCATTCAGTGAGCTAATTATGAAAACTGATCATTACGACTGTTTCAAATCTAAATCACTGTTTCTCTAATCGCTGATGGAAAGCACCGAGGTTGTGGATTGGCACCAAGATTTAAACAATTTAAACAGTGTCACTTGTGTTATGTCTCTATCAGATCTTTATCAGGTTTTAACTGTCGTTATCTAATTGTAAAATATGAATATTGAAATCTATACAGTGATAGTGGTTTGTAGTGATTGGATCAGTGATCAGTGATGAGTTCACTGAATGCACACCCATTGATTTGTTTGATCATACAGCAAGATGTAAAGGTGTCAACGCTGGTGCCTGTGGTTCTTGTTTATCTGCTGAATTAGACGATGTATCCAAGTTCACTTGTGGACAAGCTTCTAATAGAGCTTTTAAAGCAGGCTGATTTCCTCCAGCTACCGCATAATGAATTGCAGTAAAACCACGTTTATCGCACAAACGTGGATCTGCTTTATGTTTCAGTAAATATTGAACGCATCTAAAAGAGTAATAGAAATTCAAATGTTATGATTATTATGAAAGAAAGAAATTATGGTTGTTTGAATTGTATAATATTTAATTATATCGTAATGTGATGTCTTTTGTTTGATAAGCTATATACAAATAAGCTACATACTGAGCACCAGAATCCGTAGGATTCGAGGCCGCTGCTAAATGCAAAGGGGTTGCGCCGTCAACGTCTTGTGCGTTGGAATCACTTCCAAATCCAACCAATGTGAAAACACAAAGGTAATGACCCTGGCTAGCAGCATAATGAAGTGCTAATCTATCATCGTTATCGGTTAATCGAAAATTAGCACCGCTGGATAGTAATAAATCTAAACAATCCACAGATCCTTTGAATGCCGCTAAATGCAACGGTGTCCTACCACCAGCATCTCTTGTATCTATACGTCTGCTATCGACTTGTAACAATTTTCTACAAACCTGCGGATGTTATCAATCAAAACGTTAATGTTAGAACTAGAAGCAATATTAACACTCTATAACCCCGTATGACTCTGAAGTCGTATACGTATTAGTATCAACATTTTTTAAATCTGATTTAACTTTATTAAATGTATGTATTAATTACAAACAATCTGTTCACAACAATTTGACAATTTTTCACACTAGGGTTAGTACAATTGGCAGCTTATGTGTATTCAGCTTTCAACTTATATCCCATTATTAGTGTTTACCAATAGTCTTATCATAGAATTTGTTTCGCAAACCACGTACAATTTGGATTATAGCGAGTTAATACGTTTGAATACTTTACCTCGACATGCCCTGCTAGACAACTCAGGTGCAACGGCCTACGTAGTTCAACGTTGCGTGCTGCTGGAGAGGCACCATATTCCAGCAAAGTCGTTGTCAAACACTCGTGACCGAACCTAAATAAAATTTCAAATGGGAATAAATATGGAAAAATAAAAAATAATAAACAAAACTAAAGTTTTCCATTGTATTTTACCAAGCAGCTATGTGTAGAGCGGTATTTCTAATTTTATCCTCGATATGCGGTAATGCACCAGCGTCTAATAAAGTTTTTGATCGAGTAAATCTTCCGTGAATTGCAGTCATATGTAAAGGCGTATGTCCATCTTTCGACTGAACATTTATTTTTGAACCAGCTTGTAAAAGTACTTCTAAACAGTTAACACCGTGTGGACTAGCTGCGGCAACGTGTAGCGAACTTTGTCTTCGGTAGTTTACAGTCTCTGTTCAAACGATTATTCGTTGTAAACTCGATCGGGAAACATTGATTTTTACTTTTTATAAATCATCTCACCAATGTTAACGGAATTTGCAATTAATTCTTTAACCGCGTCTGCGTGGCCGTTTAAACATGCAATATGCAGAGGTGTATTTCCATACTCATTCCTTGCTTCGATATCTGCTCCTGCATTAATTAATATACGCATACATTCAACGTTACCAGAAGCTGCAGCTGCGTGTAGTGGAGTGTATAAATCTCGATCCTTAACATAAAAACATACATGTTAACCAGACTTGGACATTAGTAAATCTTTATCTAGATAATACATTTTTATTCAAATTCACAGTGTTCATTGGGAAATAAAGCTTTATCTAGACAAAGTATTATTCGTCATTCTTATTCGTTATTTGGATAACTTATGCGACACAGCAATATAAACAGCACTTTGCAATCATACAGAAAAAGTTTTAGAGAAAGTTACATTACTTTAACGTTCACATCTGCTCCATGTGCTATGAGTATTTTCACAATACTTTCATGACCCATGTATGCTGCAAAATGTATAGCTCTACGATGTTTTTTATCATGAGCATTTACTATGCAGCCAACTCGAATCAAATATTCTGTCATTTTAAGATGTCCATTGTAAGCTGCATGATGCAAACATGTTCTGCCACTTCTGAAGAAAATATATGCACTTGTTAATACATGTACAAGTAATATAATTAAAGATCATCAAATATACAAACCTGTCTGGTATGTTAACATTCCTTACGTATGGAAGTATCAGTTTTGCACATTGCACAGCATTATTTGCTGCTGCTACATGTAAAGGAGTTTGCCAATTGCGGTCCCAAATATTGACATTTGCTTTATAGTATAATAAAACATCCACTACGTTATGATGCCCTAAGCAACAGGCTCTATGCAACGGAGTTAACATTTTCTTATCTAGAGCACTTACTTCAGCTCCATGCAATAGAAGCGTTTCTACAATTGTTCTATTTCCCATAAATGCAGCTGCATGGAGAAGAGAACGTTTTTCTACGTCTTGCCAATTTGCATCTTCTTGTTTTGATAGCAACGCTAGAACTTCTTCTGCGTTTCCATAAAATATAGCTCGCAATAGGGGTGACTATAAAAACATCAAAGACCATTTTATAACTACGAATATCATATTTTATTTTGCATATATGTTTTTTAAGAACAAATATCATTAAGAAATATTCAACAATGTTAACATATTTTGTGTGGACTAGATAATTTTAGCTCAGTGGTTATAAGCAAGGTAAATGAAATAACCTTTTATATGAGTGATCCATAATTGTATACCACGACATGTGTTAAGTTGCTTAAAGTTTGATCTGACAAAGACACAATAACAGAAAATAATGCGAAACATCATAAAATGACAAATTTTCAAGATTATCATGGTACATAATGCACCAATTCATTTAAATTAATATATATTTTTTAAACTTCAAGTTATATAATAATCGATAAACAAAAATGAAATACAAACGAGACTATTATGCTCGAGAAAATTAAAAAGAAATCCGGTGATTGACACATGAGTCTAACCTCCGACTTTGTAGTTTCTTTAATGTATTCGAAGATTGTTTAGAGAAATACATTCGCTAAAAGAAATAAAACAACGTACCCCATCGTGCAGTATCTGCACGTTCATGATTAACCAGTTTCTCAATTTATACAAATACGGGAGTATTTATAAAAAACACAATCACGGGAGTGTAAAAAACTGACATAGTAGTGTGTGACTCATACTTCAACACGTACAGTCCAGTTTGTTACTTTCATTTTGCCGTGAACAATTTCTTACAAGCGTATCGTTTAATTTAATTGTCATTTCAGGCGAACAGCGGCATCGTTTCAGTGAAAATAACTACCAAAAATATGCATTATAATACTATTTTCAAGTATAAACAGTAATAGCAATAGCTATCTTTGCATGGTACACTCCATCTTTGTTTCTATTGAGTTCTCAGAAGCTTGTAAACAGATAAATATAACACCCAGCGTGTCGCGCGAGAATTGAAAAGGGTTTACGTATCTTGATTCGTTTCAAATCTCGAATGAATTTTTTCCAAATTTCAGCGAACATTGTGTGAATATTTTTTATATTTCAACATATTTCGGTATTTCGTATGTAAGTGACAAATAAAATTAATTTAAAATTATTTAAAAATCCACTGTGACGAGCCCAAAAGAAGCCTTTTTACAATTTTTTTTATTTCTTATTAAATTAATTAAAGATTGGGAGAAGGATACATTATTAAGGATACGTTAAAGTGGTTTTGTAAATGTTTATATTAAATATAAATAAAAATTAACGGAAATATACATACAGGACCGATTTTACCAATATTGGCGGCCCGGGCAAGATTATCGTGGCCCCCCTTCAGGGGTATATACAGTATACGGTATGACCCAAAAATGTTGTAACACCTTGAAATGGGTGGTTCGGGAGGTGATTTGAAACAACTTTTTCTTTAGCGAAAATGTTGTCCGAGGCTTCGTTGAGGAGATATTAACAGAAAACCCCGACCAATCGGAGCGCGAGTATGCCAGTGGAGCGGCCGCGGTAGCGTAGGCTACGCGCTCTGATTGGCCAATGTTTTCCGTTAATATCTCCTCAACGAAACCTCGGACAACATTTTCGCTAAGGAAAAAGTTGTTTCAAATCATCTCCCGAACCACCTCTTTCAAGGTGTTACAACATTTTTGGGACATCTCGTATATCGGTATATTCGTAAACTAGGGATACCGAACTGCGACGCCCCCAAAAATCTGGCGCCCCGGGCGGTTGCCCGACCGCCCCCCCCCCAACGCCGGCGCTATATACATAACAATGTTCTAGTCTGTAAAAAATTCCGCTTTGAAAAGGCGGGATCGAAATCATTAGCATGGTTCGATTTAAAAAAAAAATATTTTCTTAATGTACCTAAATGTAGGAATCGTTAAGCGTAGCTGTTTCTTCTCTTAAATTATTTTTTTCACAAAATGGTGCACTAAAATTTGTGGGAACATTAAGATTTTTACTTTAACATGTGCCAAGAAAAAACGATTACGCTTAACGATTACTACGTTGATGTGGCGTTTACATAATTATTCACAGTTTATTTATGTGCTTATCTGCTTATCTCCATCAAAATCAGTGTCTGCTACGATACTCCTCTATTCTGTCAAATGAAACAAAAAATCTATTTGAAGGAGAAAAGCAGAGAAAACGAAACGATTTGAAGTGACGAGTAATGCGTGTTCATCTTCTGTATGCTGTAATATCGCGATGAAAGAGGCTCGATACGTATATCACAACTACACGTTAATTTTAAAGTGGAATGGATGTCGATGCAATCGATAGATCTGAATGTTTGGCGAACAAAAAGGTTTTGGATAATATCGAAGAGGATTCGAAACATGGCTGTCTTAGCGTAGCGCCGTCAAACTTGAAATTTACTTTTTATTCTGGAAACCTTGAAGTTCAAGAAAAGACGATAGAGATCACGAATTATTTTTCGAAACCATGTCCGATTCAACTGTTACCGTTAAAAACTCATTACTTCCAGATTCGAACTGCCTCTCAGGTTAAGGAGGAATTTTTATGCTCAAAAGAAAATGTGTCCTTTGTTTTCGCAATTTGGGGTGCGTGACAGATTGCAAAAATGTACATTTATTGCAGAGAAGGTGGCTCAGTCCCGGATCGAGTTTTAAGATACATATTCTTTTCACTCCCGATGAAGACAGAAACTACAACGATATCTTAAAGATCCATTACTTCAACAATCAACAGTTACAGATTAAAATTACCGCAGAAATAACTACTCGTTTTTCTTTTCCTACAAACGTAAACTTTGGAGCCGTTCCACTTGGTCGAGCGTAAGTTCATCGTTCAATTCGTATATGACTTGCGTAGTGAGTATAATTGTTTATTGTTTAAGGGCTTGCTACGAAATACCAATATATTCCCATGCAAAGAAAAAAATCTCTTTCGCTATTATGCCATCTAAAGAAGACTCGTGTGTCGACATCTATCCTCGGTGGGGTAAATTTGCATTTTATGATATTCTTTATGTTAGGGGTCCCAACTTAACATATGTTATAAGGCTAACACCAGAAATGAATAGGAATAAAAATATCGCCAATCACCGAATTCTTGACTTCAGCCAAATTTGTTATTGATTGCTTGATTGATTGATTGGCATTGATTTACAATTCAGTTTAAGCTAGCGCCTCCAACGACAAAGTCTGAGTATCTCTTCCAAGTGTAATTATACAACAAATGTTTTACATGCAATTTGAATGCAATATTGCAATAATTTTTTAAGTGAAACTTTTGAAGGCACGGTGTGTAAATTGAAAACTATGCAACGAAAAAGCGGCAGTAAAAAGAGTCAAGCGATCTACAGGATGTCCCACAAATATTGGAGGTCCTTGAGAGGGGCGGTTCGGGGGGTGATTTGAAACAACTTTTTCCTTAGCGAAAATGTTGTCCAAGGTTTCGTTAGGGAGATATTAACAGAAAACCACAACCAATCAGAGCCCCCGCGGTAACGTAGGCTACGCGCTAAGCGGCCCCTTCGACCAATCAGATCGCGTGTACGCTACGCGCTCCACCAGCATACTCGCGCTCTGATTGGTCGGGATTTTCTGTTAATATCTCCTTAACAAAGTCTCGGACACGATTTTCGCTAAGCAAAAAGTTATTTCAAATCACCCCCCGAACCATCCTTTTCAAGGATCCCCAACATTTTTGAGACACCCTGTAAGTACAAGGTAGAGGTGATTTGAAACAACTTTTTCCTTAGCGAAAATGTTGTCCGAGGCTTCGTTAAGGAGATATTAACAGAAAACCCCGACAAATCAGAGATATGGCGGTTGAGCGGCCGCGGTTGCGTAGGCTATGCGCTCTGATTGGTCGCGGTTTTCTGTTAATATCTCCTTAACGAAGCCTCGGACATTTTCGCTAAGGAAAAAGTTGTTTCAAATCACCCCTCGAACCGCCCCTTTCAAGGACCTCCACCATTTTTGGGACACCCTCTATATATAATTTCCCAATACTCTGTCTTCTCTATGTGCTATAGTCAGTGATGGGCAAAACACTAGGGTTCGAATAAATCTGAAGTTTACCGATCTGTCTATCTCCTTTCCTCTTTTAAAAATTTTCCAAAGTAGGAAACGAGACAAACACGTCGGCAAACTTCAGATTTATTCGAATCCTAGGGTTTTGCCCTTCTCTGGCTATAGTTGGTAGCGCCTTCACTCCTACATTTCATACATTCACAAACAAAAGTTTTGTAAAAATTGTGTCGACAGTTGGGAACCCCATTCGAAAATGTTCATTACTTGATAACTTAAGTTGTCGCAATACATGTTTTAATCTCTTTTTAGGACATATTAGACCAGGTCAAGAACCCCTAATAATCATGGTAATTTATAGACCGTTTCGGTATATATGTTTCAACTTCCAAATTCGAATATTCATAACAGATTTATGTAAAGTTCCCCACATTATAAATTTCTACGCATATACCCGTCCAGGAATTTTACGGTGAGAATGCTTGATACCAACCTCTATTAAGAAAATGAATTCGATTATTTAGTGCACATATGTATAATGAATAATATAATGGCTTTTTTATTTTTAGGGAAACATTGGAGAATATTGAATCGAAAACTAAAAACAAAGTGAAACCTGCGAAAACAGACGCAATATCTCGAAAGAAGGTGACACCAATTTCCGTGAATCAAAATACGCCAAAAGCTTGCGCGGAGAAATCTACCGTGAAAATGTCGAGCTGCGACGAAAGTTTATTAAAAAAGTGCAGTTGTTTTCCCTTGTATGCATTACATGCCGTCAATTGCATAATGAATTCAAAAACTCTAAAATCATACGGGGAACACGAGTTAAAAGGTTAGAAGTAACGAATAAGTAAATGTAATTCATAAATATTATTTTGATTTTGAGAGGAGGGAGGCATTGATCAATGTAGCCTAGGGTACCGGAAACCCTAGAGACGGCCTTGTATACAATCTGTTTGTTATTCATTGAGCTCTATCCTTAGGATAGAGCTCAATGTTGTTATCATAATAAGCTGCATCCAGAAGGCTGAGATGCCAAAGTTGCTTCCGACTCACGCACGCATGCGTACTGTTTTTCACGTCAGTAGAGTATCTAATACAACCATAAAACTGGTACCCTTAGTCGTCCCAAAAATTATTTTTGGGCAGAGATGGGCAAAACCCTAGGATTCGAATAAATCTGAAGTTTGCCGACGTGTTTGTCTCGTTTCCTTCTTTGGAAAATTTTCAAAAGAGGAAAGGAGATAGACAGATCGGCAAACTTCAGATTTATTCGAAACCTAGAATTTTGCCCATCACTGCCAAAAATGATATTAATATAAAAGAATATGGATCACACATTGTTGGTGTTTTTTGATAGGTGTATTGATAGTCTTCCCAGTTTCTTATATACAGAGTGCCACAAAAATCTTGTAACACCTTGAAAGGGGTAGTTCGGGAGGTGATTTGAAACAACTTTTTTCTTAGCGAAAATGTTGTCCGAGGTTTCGTTGAGGAGATATTAACGGAAAACTCCGACCAATCAGAGGGCGAGTATGCCGGTGGACCGCCCGTGGTAGGCGTGGCAACGCGCTAAGCGGTCGCTTCGACCAATCAGAGCGCCAGTATGCCGGTGGAGCGCGTTGCGTACGCTACCGCGTCCGCTCCACCGGCATACTCATGCTCTGATTGGTCGGGGTTTTCTGATAATATCTGCAAGTCTCGGATAACATTTTCGATAAGGAAAGCGTTGTTTCAAATCTCCTCCCGAATCACCTCTATCAAGATGTTACAACATTTTTGGGACACCCTATACTTTTGCTCATGAACATGAAATTTATTAGACTCCTGACTACTAGGTCTAGTACCGGCCATCACTTCTAGGCGTCGCCCATGAGAATCTAAATCTAGGGTGCGTTC